GAAGGAAGGTTGGGCAATCTACTTCTGTAGTGATACTGCCTCAGCAACCCAAGGAGGGGTCGTTATGAGTTGGGTCCGACTTGATGGCACATAAAAACAACAACAAATGCATGTATGTATGTACATACATGCATACATAGTACTCATGTATATCTATGTATGTGTATGTGTGTATATGTAGTATGTGTGTATTCATGTATACATAGGATGCACGCATGTGTGTGCACACACACTATCTATGTATATGTATGTATGTATGCATGTGTGTGTGTATACCTATGCATATATGTGTGTATATAGGGAGAACATGCTCAGTGTCCAATTCCACTTGGTTTTGAGGGCCCACTGCAATTGAGGAAAATAGAACAAAATGAGAACCCACGTCCCCTTATCCTCCTGCTACGATGCCTTTGACTGCGGGGGCTTTGGTGGAAATGATTACCTGACAGTGTACACGCCCCCAACAGATTCACAATGTTCTCGTGGCTCCCGAGGTAGGTCATCATCTTGAGTTCGGACATGAGAGCCTCCTTCTCGGCGCTGTCGGCCTTTTCTGCGAGTGGAAGGGCACACACAGGTAAAACCAGGAAAATCCGAATCGGGTGGTCATTTTTACCTCTTTCCTAAGCGTGTTTATGTATTTGTTTACTGTCATCGGGGGACGGTTGGCGGAGCACATTGGTTTTCCACTCGACCACTGGGACACGTTTGGGGACACTGGCCCAGTCCCTTCACTGTAACACACTCTTTCCGCCTCCTCCTGGGCTTCCCGATCCCACTCATCCTTCTTCCTCCCCGTCCCACTTCTGAGCCCTGTTTTGGGCAAATGAGGTATTTGATGTGGTTGAGTAAATTAAATCATTCCTTAGTTCAGAGTCGAGATATGTTATTTATCTAGGTGTGAACTCATAAGAAGAGAGAAAACGAAACATAAGGAAAGACAAAAAGAGATTTTCCTCCATAACAGAAGTTAACAGATGTGCTAAAGGGGAAACGTACTTTTGTTTGTTTGGTTTTGACTCTTTGATTGCCTGGCATCAGGAGAGAAGACAGGGACGTCAGTGAGGGTGGGGACAAGGCCACCCAGTGCAAGCCTGGGGCCATGGGCTCTGCAGCTCTGTGGTTGCTAAGTGCTGCCAGGTCCCCTCCGACTCACAGCGGCCCGTGTACAACAGAACCAGAGAGTGCCATCCCCTAATCTTTGCTATGTCTGAGCCCACTCTTGCAGACACTGTGTCAGTCCAGCCTGTGGAGGGTCTTCCCTTTCTCCCTGCCCCTCTACTTTACCAAGCCTGCTATCCTCCTCCAAGGACTGGTCCCTCCTGATAACATGACCAAAGTACGTGACACAATGTCTCACCATTCTGGCTTCTAAGGATCA